GAAATTCTGATTTTTCAGAGCTTTTCCCAAGCTACCCGGAATCTGTCAGACGATAGCCATTGCATAGCTTGTGTCAGGCCTGCATAAATGCAGACACCTCTGGCTGAGGTGCTAGGCCTGCTCAGATAGCAACATGGCAGTGGGGCGGCTTTGGGAGAGACCAGGTGACTACACAGAAGAGATCCCAAAGATAGTGTCAAGTTTTGCCAGGGCTGGAAGGCCTGCCAGACTCCTGGCCCCTGGCTTCCCTGCCTTGCCAGCCTGAAGGCTTGTCCCATACAGTTGGTGCAGAAAGCATTAAAGCCTGAAAAAGCCACTAAGGGTTCGGGCACTCTCCTTCACCCATTTGCCTAAAGTGATAGAGAACCTGCCCGGTGCCTTGCTGGCACTACACAATTTTGGCAGGAGGGTTTGAGAACTATGCAAAAGTTAAATTTCATGCTTCAACAGCGCTGCAAATCAAATATACCACAATGTGTTATCCCAACTTATACAGGCAGAACAAATAATCCAGAGTTCAAAAGCTCCCTGTTCAGATGAATAAACATATCTGAACATTCTATATGTCAATTTTTTTTTTAATAGCACTACAAAGGAAAATGAAAGGAAAAAGCACCATTGAATGCCACCTGGAATATTTAATAAATAACCACTGACTGTGGTTCTTCTACTTTGCTTTTGCAGCATGCCTTAAGAGCAATTACTATTCCATTACTGTTCACACAAGAGAAAATTTACCAGCTTGTAATTTAGAGGCAAGTGGAACAGACAAGATGGAGTCACCCACTATAGCTTCCAAGAAACAGCAGACAAAAAGCCTAAATATTTAAAAAACACATTTATTGCACTAAACAATAAGCTGGACATATCTTCATGTCTATTCATGAGAAATAATAATCAGTGAAAAGTAGGTTAGAGGAAGAATGATGGTAAAAGACAACAGGAAGAGGCAGAAGGGTGTATGGCTTTAAATCCAAATTGTTATTTCTGGTCCATTAAAATATCAAAATCTATATGAAATCTGCTGTTCTCTAAATGAAACTGTCAAAAATGAGCCAGCATTTAAGTATTATACACACAGAGAGGGTCAAGGAAATCTATTGACTTAACATTGACAGCTGATGAATATTGGACATAGTTTTATATACATATTTTTATAAAATTCTCACATTTTATGAAACTTAAGGCGAGACTATCATTATGCTTTTAGGTAGGGAGAAATAAAACACAAGAGGCCCTGTTGAAGTAAAATAGTCTTTATGCTTACACTTAAAAACAATCAGATTGCTCGCATTGAAAAGATAATTACCAAGCCCTAAGTAATTGTAAGAAGGGTAACAGAAAAGGTATCTCTTTTCTCCTTTCATGAAAGACATACAGTATTTAAGAGGAAGATGCCATGCACTAAATTTGAATATCCTTTGGATTATGACTCCAATAAACTGCACTTAATGGGGGAAGACATATATGTCTCAGAAAGGGGCAAGACACAATTAAGCTGCAACCATGCACCTTGCACAGAGAACTTAGCACCACCCAATTAAAAAAATCCAAACAAAGGGCCTCGTTAGTTTACTGCTTCCCAGAAACATCTTCAAGATGCACTTTCATTTAACAGAGGCCTTTCATGAGCTCTTTAAGTACCATAAAGTCGGCCTGTCTTCCAGTCTTAACATTTTCAATTTAAAGTAAAATTGTTTAAAGTTCTTTTCCCTGCTTGGAAAGTGTTATTCTTAAACCTTTCAATTCGATTGATTTCCACAGGTGACAGCAACTTCAGCTGAAAAGCACCATCTTTAAACTCAGAAAAGCTTGGAAGGTTTTCTAATAAGAAAGATCTGATCAATAGTGTTATTGAAAATATGACCAGATAGAGAGTCACATTTATCTGTAACAGGGCTTTTATTAAGGCAGCTTAAATTCTTTGCAAATAAGTTTTTCTGAAGGGTTCGATCAATAGGGTGCACAGGCAGGCAGGATTACCTGTGATCCATAGTGCAAGATCCTACCAATGCCACAGGAAGAGTGGGCAGTGGAAACATAAGAGTATGAACGAACACCTGGACACTTTACTCTCCAATGAAAGCCCAGTTTCTGTGGCAATCACTCACACTGAGCTTCATTTGCAAATGATTTGACTATTAATATAGGCTTGTTCAATGAAAATATTTCTTTCCTAGCAGCACAGCTCAGTTGAAAGGGGCAGCTGAAAATTAGTTAGCAGTATGGGAGAAGACAGCATCATTGCAGTTACCAGGGGGGAATAATTGAACACAGATAGCCTGTTGCGCCTTTAATTTAATTTGGAGACCTTTCATCTTTTACTTTCCTTCATTTGCAGCCAATGCTTAGTAAGCTAATTTGTACCTGGTTCATTTTCCTCCTTTTATCTTATCTACGCTAACATCAAGCATGGAAATTAGAAGCACTATGAATAAAAGATGAAGCCTAACTTGGGACATTTTTTTTCCTTAAGTACTGTGAATTACTTTAAAATCTAATTTGTATGTGTGCACAATATAAAGGGCTAAAATATATGCTTGGCCTTACAACATCCCGATCAGCATCTTTTCTTCCCTGGGGAGTTGCCGTTTTTTAGGTATCTTAATGTGGATCTACCTTTTCCCAAGAGAACTGTATGGAGACTGTAGTCCACATGGAATCATTAATCCTAGAAGTGGTGTAGAGTAAGCCATTCCATTAATGCCAAGGACTAAGGATGCACAAATGCCATTAACTTGACTTTTTGGTGAGTTCAATACTGCTTGCAGTGCAAGGAAAAGAATGCATTGTAAACAACATATATGTCTAACAAACAGATACCTACACTGTCCAAAAGTAATGTGTATGTGTGTGTGGCAGAGAGTGCTGATGGAGAAAGGGACTAGTAATAAAATTAGTGTCTGGTAGTAATCTCTAGAGAATTTAAATTCTAATCCTTTCTGTTGTGTATCTTGTATATATGGCACTTCTCAGTAAGAAATTGTTGCAAAACTTTTTGATTATTTGTATTGCTTCTAACTGTGCAAAGCTTCTTTTTTTGTAAGTGTTGCATTTTTTTCTTTATAGTTTCCTCTTAGCCAATACAATTATTTTCTCCTTGACCTCTCTTTCCTTTATCTTCTCTCAATCTCTCTCCTTCTCCATCTGCCCCCTCCCTCCCTCCACATGGACTAATGGAAAAAAATACTGAATTCTTCTGCCTAATATCTACACCAACAAGCCCTCCTTTCAATTTGGAAAGCATAAAAGAATGCTGAATGGTTCTACTGCCTTTATGTGCCAACTCTTTCCACTCATCTAACATCTCGCACCAGCAGGCTAACTGAAAATCCCTCCTTCAGAGCCCATCTCCCTTTAAAAGTCGATTAATAATGATTTGCATTATTTTACTCAAACAAGACTACACACATTCACAGTTTAGGCAACTTCCAAGTTGTAGAAGAAAAAAAAAGAATTTGGGTTTAACCTATGGTCTGCTGAGATATAACGGTCTTCATGGCTTTGGAACACAAACTATGTCCTCAATGGAGAAAGAGTATGCAAATTGGCTCAAAATAAAAGATCAACTTTAAAAATTGTAATAAAAACTATAGCATATAATGCCAAACTTCATTTCTTCTGAAAAAAGGGGGGTGGGGAGTGTGTGGTAACGCTACCTTGTAAAAAGACAGAGAAAGAATAGGTAGCACAATTACAGATCATTTATTCATGAAGGAGAGGATGAAAAGAAACGAAGGTGGCAAATACATTTAAGAAATAGATTTTAAACTATATATAGGCAGAAAAATTAAACTGGGCGAGCAGTTCTGTTCTGTAGTTAAGAAAGTAAGCAAAACAACAAGATGAAAATATAGGGGAATATATGATTACTGAACACACTTTATCCAGTATACTTGGGAGGAGGGGTTAGGGATGATGGAGGTTCTTTGAAGCAGGAAGGCAAGGAATTCTGGAGAGAGGAAGACAACTTTCCCAGGGGATGTCAAAGGAGCCAAAGTTTTTCCTCCCACTTATACCTATTTGTGTGGATTCCTGACAAAACCTTGTGATCCAGTCTCATTTGCAGAATACGAGCGCACAGAGACCGCAAAAACAGTAAGAAAGAACACCTGTTTTCACTCCGCGCCCGCGGGCTATGCGCACACGCGAATTCCCGAGAGAAAAGTGGCCCCTCGGCACAGGGCCCGGGCTACACTCAGGACCGCACAGAGAACACCAACCTGCGAACCCGCAATTCCTCCCCCGCCCCCAGCCTTTCACGTGGCCCGACTAATGGCCAAAGATAAGCCCTTAGAAATAGATCAGGAAACGGAACCCGGCGGTCCAAGAACACCAGGGCAACCTAAATGCTACAGCCACACAGCACAACATTCTCAATTCATTTGGCAGGGGAGGGTCCTAGAAAAACAGGCAGCCTTGCAGAGTCAGAAAGGGCCTCGGCGGTGTGCTGGAGAAGGCGGGAAGACCTTCGCAGAAGTCAGTGTTTCATCAGTAACCATTTCCGTGCCTGCAGACTGGCAGCGTGTTTGCCGGCTGACTTCAGCCTCCGCCTCACCTTCCCCCCTACGGCTCCAGACTCTGAATCACACCTGTGCGCGCGCGGGGAGGCCCAGGCGGGCTCGGAGCGCGCCCCTAACCCCACCTGCCTCGCGACCCCCCGCCAGCTCGCCTCGCCCGCCGCGAGCTTTCAGCCCGACGGTCGCCGCTCTGCTCCGGGCAGCCACCCCGCGCCTCACCTGTGCCCGCAGGCCAGGCCAAGTTCCCACCAGGCCCCCCAGTCACCGCGGGGCTCTGACCCACCCTTCACCCCCTTGGTCAGAGGCAGCGAAGCTACAAGCTGAGTGCCTGGAGCGCTCCACCCGGAGTCCCGACAGGACGCAACGAGAAGTGAGGCCTCAAAAGTGCGGCCGCGGCGTCAGGAGCGCGCGGCGGCAGCCCGGCCGGTCCAGGGACCCCCTCCCGCCCTAGCCCCCCAGCTGCGGCGGGCCGGCAGCTACCTCCTGAAACAGCTCCAGACTGTAGGTGTTGTCGTCGTCGGCGAAGAAGAGGACTCCCTGCTGGGCGCGCTGGTGCTGGTGCCTCTGGCGTAGCCAGGCGAGGCCGGCGTTGCGCTGCTCCGTGGCGCGCGGCAGCCCCGGCCGCTTGTAGCGCCGCGGCGTCTGCACGTGCAGGTGCGTGCTGGGCAGCCCGGCCCGCGCCAGGAAGCGGCTGACCAGCTCGCTGCGAGCCGCCGCATCCTCCACCAAGATCCAGTGCAACTGCGCCACCTGGCGGAAAGTGTTGGCCAGGCGGGTCAGCTCGGCTTTCTGCACCGGGCGGCTGTAAGTGGGCGTGATGGCATAGATGGTGGGCAGCGTCGACTCCGGTTGCGACTGCGGTTGCGACTGAGATTCGTTGCGCTTCTCCAAGCAGCGCCGGGTGCCGCTGTCAGGACCGCTCCTGCGGAGCGGGATTCGGGCGCCCCGGCGGCCCACCACATAGGGAGAGAAGTAGGGGCGCGGGGTAAGCTGGGGCGCTGGCCTGCGCGTGTCCACGTCGAGCATGATGATGACAATTAGGATCCAGGGCAGGAGGATGAAGAAGCGACTGAACAGCACGGACTTCATGGTGCGCTCTCCTTAGCCTCTCGGAAGCCCCTGAGAGGGGCGAGCCAGGGGACCCCAGCGCGCTGTTTGGACGGCGGCGGCGCCCGCTCTCAGGAAGCCATGGTTGGCGCGCTCTCCCAGGGTGGGAGTGCTGCGGGCACCCGGAGCCGCGGGGCTCGGAGCCCGGGCTTGGGGGATCGGCGCAGGTGCCAGGGAAGCTAGGGCACCGGGGTATGTAGGCAGGCGAGCAAGAGCCGTGCCCCACTCCTGGTCAGCTGGAAGGAAGCGGGAACAGTCCAGCCGCGCTTTGCTAGCCCTGGAGTTGCGCGGAGCTCCCGGGAGGCGGTGATCCCACCACGCTCTTTCCAAGGAATGGGAGCTGCTCCCGTCCCGCGACGCAGCGGGCGAAGGGACTCCAGCCGCGAGCTCCAACGCTCTCTCGGGGACACCTCCGAAGACGGGAGGCAGACTCTGGGGCTTTCCTTCCTCACATCCCAGTCCAGGCGGCGAGGGCCGGGAGGGGGTGGCGGAGATGTGTCCCCAGCTCTGTCTGTGCCGCGCGGCAGAAGCCAGCGCTCCTGTCCGCCCGGCTCTTCGCAGAACCTCTCCAGGCTCCAGCAGCAAGATCCCAAAGCAGGGAAAGAAAGAAAAAGCGAGGAGGCGGGGGCGCTGCAGACTCCAGCGTCTGCCAGTCCGCCTGTGGGAAGACAGCGCTGCTACTGGCAGAGAGGGGCAAAGGGGGAGGCGGGAGGGAGCGCCTGCTCTCCGCTGGGGCTGCGCTGACAGCCCTGCGAGCTTGCTCTGAAGGAGGCTGCTGCGCCGCGGGAGGAGAGGAAGGAGGGTCCCCGCGAGGCTGCGCGATCCGGCAGGGGGGTGCGTGCGTGCCGCGCGCTCTTAGCTTTCTGAAATATTGCACGGTCTTTGTAGATCCACGACGAAACCCCATTCATGTGTGGAAGACTCGGGAGACCTAAGTAGGGAGTAAGAAGAGCTCCCAATTGCGGGTTTGGAGTGCGGAGCGGCGCGCAGCGGCAACAAAAAGCGCTTTCACTGAAAGGCAGAAATCAGTAGTAGCCCTGGGAGACTGAGGGGTGCCTGCTGTGCCTTGCTGTGCCGCAAAGATGTTTGGCACGTGAGAAGCCGGTAAGAATCAATCCGAAGGGTTGGTGCTGCTATATCACTGAGGGGAAATCTCTAAAACTCCAACCGAGTATGTTTAACTTATTTTTCTTCAGTCATTTGGAGCCACAGTTCCTCACAGTTGTTTGCAATCAGAATTATTCCTTTGACCCTTCCAACCATCTTTTCAAGGAAGCCTGCGAAGTCCAATCACCTTCATTTTCTGGATGAGGAAGCTGAGGCTCAGAGTTTGAAGTGATTTCATAGAGGTCAGCGGCAAGCGGCCAAGAGGAAATAGAACGTGGATTCTCCGCCAGTGGCTTCCTCACTGCCCGGCCTGCAGAAATCGTTACCGACACAGAGGGACTGGGTGGAGTTGACCCTCATCGATATACACATGAAACAATAAAAATGAAAGAGAATACGATGACATCTAGAAATCATGACAGTGTCTGGAAGGCAAGTAAGCAATTGGCGCTTAGTCTGCAATATTTTTTCTATCTAACGAACCTACTAGCTCAGGCTCTGACTACCAAGAAGACAAGAGGGGCCACGCTTCAGTCACGTCCCAAGGAAGTGCCTGCAAAGCAACAGGAAAAGCCTCCCAACCCCCAGCCTGTGATAAATAATTTCCGAACACACCTTCCCTCGGTTGTCTGTCTTCCTCAATCTTGGTCACAAAATAAATCCCTTCAATAGCTCATTCTTGGCGAGGGCGAGACGGAGAGCTCTGAGAGATGGCACCTCCAGCCTTTCTGATATTTTCTCAGCCCTACTCTTGCTGCTCCAGCCTATTATCAGATGTTGGAGCCTCTGTGAATTTTTCTAACTTCCCCTTAAAAGCCTGAAATCTGATAGTGAAATTTATAGATTTGACAGCCTCTCCCTTTTCTATTCTGATTTCTCTGTATCATTCACAACTCAGATTTCAAACTCAGCGGTTTAGTACATCCTGAACATAGGAAACAAATCCTTCCCGTATCCTTATATTCTCTGCTTGTGTAATAGGCCTCTGTACATAACATAAGCTCTCAGGAAAAAAGGTGTCCTGATGAGGTCTCCAGAGTAGTCTGTAAAAATCAATGTCAGCATCATGGGACAAGAAGCAATTCAATGAAAGCTCTTAAATGCTAGGAAATACAATCACCCACCCACCCCACCCCCCACACACACACACATACACCAGCCCATGAAAGATTACTGAAGTCTCCTTTATCTGGTTGAAATTCTTTAATGTAGTTGAAGAGAAATGCCTTGTGTTACACCTGGAGTACAGCTCAAGAGATTGCTGAATTGTACCAAAAAGCACCACTAAAAGTAGGGGAACTCTTGGATATTCCAGTATACCATTAAGCTATTTATTAATTGCTCTTCAGCAGCAAGGCTATTTAGAGATTTCAAACACAACCCAATTTTGGAATTTAGTTTGAGATTTCAACTTTTGTGCAGAATTCACAGGAGTCATTAAACACTTAACTACCAAACACATCAAGATAGGCCACTGTATTTTTTAGGATCCTTAGTCAACATTTATATCAAGTTTTCTGTATTCTGTCCTCTGAAACACATGCAAGATCCCAAATGGAGTCAGACAGGCCTGGGTTTGGCTCCTAGCTAGACTAATTGTGTGACTCTTGAAAGTCAGTGATTCTCTCAGAGACTCAGTTTTCTCCTCTGGAAGATGGAGTTAATACATATGTCATGGAATCTTTTAAGAATTAAATAGATTATGTAAAGAATTCTACCGAGATTGCATTATGCAGGCACTGAATAAGTGGTATTTAAAAAATTAAAATTAAGACAAGTAACAATTCCTTACCAAAAGATCTTGACCCAGGAAACCACAGGATTGTCAATACACAGGAATATATAATAAAGAGCATCCTAAATTTGCTGATACTGCCTCTAAATAGGGTTTTCACTTCTCAGGAAGGCATTAGTGCATGTGGCAGAGACTTCTTAGGGATGGGATGGGAAGAAAGAGGAAACCAATTTATAAAATATAATGTGCAATCTGTCATGCAATAAAGATAATTCCATGTGACATTATTCAAACAACTGAATGTCATATTTTATTTTCAGTGATGTAAAAATGTGGACCCACCATCTTTTATGTTCAAATCTAAGAAAAGGCACAGATAAAAAAAATTAAAAAGAATTCCTATTAGATATACAAAAGCAGAGTAAAAACACTTGTAAGTGCAAAAATTTTTAATGCTTCAGAAATAGTTTATCAGGTACTGAAATTGAAACGACTCATTTAAATGGAAGCTTAGAGAAAATGTCATTTTTATGAACCATAATCACTGGGAAGCTATAGTACTTTTCCATATAGTTTATGATATTCTTTCATAAAACAATTTAAACTTGATCTGTGGCTGGTAATGAAGGATGGTGGAAATCACCAGGGTAATTAAAATGATTACCTAACTTCAGAGCTTCTTGACATCTCCCAGTGTTTGTTTTCATTTAATCTCTCTAATTATTTGTGTAACAAAGTGAACATTGCTTCATCTGCACTAATGAAGCTTTGGATTGCTGACATCAGACACAGCATATCAGCATTCAGTTGTTGTTCTCAAACAAAGGTAAAGAAAAATCCCATCTGGAGAGTTAACAAAAAAACATACCGTATAATCACTAAACATTTACATTTTGCCTTGATGAGTAATATGTGACTAACCCCTGCAGCACAAAGATTGCAGCATGATCAGTGTATTCTCTAGAACTGATACCATTTGACATTTGAGCTGGGGTTCTACTAGTTGTGACTAAATCAATTTTCAAATGAGTGTTTAGGTACATTCTTGATATTCGCAGTGAAGTAAGAAAGAGATCAAGAAAGTATACACAAGTATTTGTAAATAGGTCTACTGTATGGGTATTCAAATCAGGATATAAAAAGATTCAGAACTTATTCATGTGTGAGCAATAATGTAAAGTGAAGATATTGATAATCAATGCTTACATGCATGTGAAAATACTTTTTAAAGTACCAAAAACAATTCTTTCACAATTACATCATTGTGAAAGAATGATGTCAAAATTATCATTCTAATAGCTCCAAATTCCAGATACATGACAGTTTCATTGATAATTGTCTGAAAAATGACATCCAAACTACAAATTAAATGGCTCATTTGTTTTTTTTATTTTCATGCAGCTGGATCCTCTATTGGTAAGTTTTGAGCTAGAATTGGTCTCAATCATATTCCTAAAAAAACTAAACACTTGCAGCAATTGTATACAAAATATGACATTAAAAGTTGGTCAATAAAGTAAAAACTTCTCTACAATGAAGTTTATTGTAGAAAAATAGAAGTTGTTAATTTACCCTAATAATTTTATTGAAAAATAATCCCAGTTTGAATAGCTGAAGAAAAACATACCAGTGTTCCTGATTTTCCCTTTATTAATGAATTCATGAGTTAATTTATGAATGAAAATCCAATAAACTTGACATAAAGGCACATATGCATTTTTATGTCTTTCACCATCTTAAAAATTGGCATTTACATAAAATAGTAATTTGTTAGAAATCGGATTTTACTAGAAAAGTACATAACCTGCCTTTCAGAGTTATTATGAGATCCAAAAAGATAATGCAGATGAAAGTATTTTAAATGTTGTTAAGTAGCTTATACATGCACATAGAGAAGGGAGGAAATAGGGTCAACAGAGTTTGTAACTGTCAGAGCTAGGAGGTTGTGTTTGGGGGTTCCCTATGTCCTATGCTTGAAAATTCCCATAATAAGAAGTACAAATTCACAAATTAGGTTATTATGACTACAACATGTTTACCAAGATAATACTGCAATCACAGTCCAGAAGCCAAGTTGTAGTTTGTTCTATATCTCGTAATTTCATCTTATTCTTTTTATTTAAAGATTTATTTATTTATGTACACAGAACTGGGGTACAGGCCAGAGGTGCAGGGGCAGTGAGAGGATTCACCAGAGACAGTGGGGAGCAGAACAGGCAGACAGAAGTACTCGGCTGAGGGGAGCAGCAGTGAGACAGGAGAGGTCTGCTGTTCCAGAGTCACCCCCTGGCAGGGGATGGAACTCAGCAGAAGCAGCTGTGGCTAGCTGGCTAGCTTCCTACTACTGCTCTTTAACCCATTGAGCAGCCAGGTAAGAAGTCCCTTGTCTCTTATTATTGAGAAGAGGCCAGTTAAGCAGTTAAATCCTATTTCAGGGGCAGTGGTATAGGTGGAAGCAGGGGGAGGGCATTTAAATTAGTACTTTATATAGTAGGAGTTATCAGGCATTTAATGAGGGACATTTTTTTTATGGGAACAAAAGAAAATTAAAGGTTAATAATTAGGACAAATTAGAGTCAATTTTTGAGTCCAGAAAGCAGTTAGTCAAGAATATTTTTAGATGTTGCACTTGGAACATCTTCAAATAGAGTGGGGACCAGACATTGAAAATCTGAAGACTTTTTTTTTTGGCTTGTAGTTTGATTGTTTCTGGTGATGGCATCAAATATTATGGTGACTTTTC